TTTAGAATAGTTTTGTTTTTATGTGATATCATTATATTATGTTTTAGTTTTGTTATATTTATATATATCCAAAAATGGATATGATATATTAAACATAGATTATAATATCACCGTTTTTATAGTTATAAATTTTATATTCTTTTTTGCATTATTCATGCCATGGTTGTGTTATGCGAATTCCCTTTTTTGATAAATAATAAAGAGTTTAAAAAACTCTTATTATATTAACTCTAAAAAAAAAATATATATATATAATTAACCATATATTTCTGAAATTGTACAGATTTTCTGTATTATATGTTCAATCATATGTAGTTAGATTTTTTGTTTAGTTGAGAACAATTCCTTTTTTGTTAAAATCACGTTCTTTACGATTACACTAATAATTTTCTTACTTTGTGTACAGATGTGATAAAACACATGAAATTATTTTAAAGATGTATTGTTTAATGAAAATACATATCTAATTTCGTAATAATAAACGCTCAAATTTTAATTTCATAAAAATTGCTGAAATTTGTATCCTGCAATATTTAGATTGATAAATTGTTAATGTGTGAAGATATGTAAACACGCGGTTAGAAGATATATGCATAATAATTGAAAGATTAAAGTTTGCATTTAGGATATCAGATTGTTGGTTCAGTTGTTCACGAAGACGATCATAATTAAGATATTACCATTATAATTAACGAAAACACGGTAATTAATAGGGATCAATGGATTCTATCTAATAGAAAAATCTTCTGAATTTTTAGATTCTGATGGACGAGTTTTAAAACATTGTCCAACTATTGTTAATATATAAACGCGCACATATGCGATAGTTGATATATTATAAATTTTAATCAAGTTATATTACTATGTTACGATATAAATGCATTAATTGAATATTGTATGCCACAGCGCTGTTATTACAGAGTTAAATTTAACTCTCATTCAAAATAATACTTGAAATTTTTGTGTCTATATGTGAAGATATAATAATATATACGTTTTATTTGTTTGTAATATCGAATTTAACGCAATTGTATATATTTTATTAAATATCATAATCGTGTAGAAAAATGAAACAGTGTTACTTAGAGCCAATTACTTTTTATCTTCATATGTTATTAATTATTAATTATATATATATATCGATCTCCTTATATTTCCTTTTTCTTTTATGTCAAACATACCAAGTTATACTTGTTAAAATCTTTAAATAATATCTATTAAAATATGTTATTATTAATACTTGTCTCGTATGTTTTTACTATAATAATATATACACAATATGTAGCTACACACATTATGTATGTAGATTACGTTCATACTTACATGTGAATAAATTATGTTCTTTTTTAATAAAGCTGTATTTATTATGTGTATGATATTCTCATATTCATAATATCATAGTTTGTCATAATCTACTCATAAATTAATATATTAATAATATAGAAAATAATCTTTTTTTTCCATGGTATGAACAGTGTCGCATGAGCACGCATACATGATATATGCACATATAAGTTTTATATATTTACATATAATGTACATTATATATTTTAATATTAAAAAAAATGAGAATGAGATTTTAATAATATAAAACGAGTAATTATAAATTTAATTTAATGGTGTTATCTATCTTGCGCTTTCTCGCAATCAACAAACAGTTCTGTGTAAGATTAAAAACAAGCAAATAATATAAATATAGCATATTTAAATATATTTTTTTAAAAAGATTTTGTGTATAAGAGACTTGTGTATAAATGACACACACATAGATATGTGTTAATTTAATTAACTATGAATTCAAATTTTTTAAGTTTTCTTTCTAATGAGATTGTTTCAAGCAATTGACAAAACTACGATTACTGCATCAAATACTTCTTACTTAAATACTTAAATACTTTGAAGATTAACCCCCCCTCATTGAAAAATACCTCGAAAGAAGGGAGGAATAGCCTAGTATCAGGCTGTCTCTCGTCCTCTCTGATGAAATAAACTGCAATGTTCATGAAACATTGGTATTCCAAGGCTGGATTTGGATACGGAGATAACTTGCGAAATGCATAGTTTTTGTACTTAAATACTTCATTATAATGTATTTGACATTGCTATATGTTACTAATACGTAATCAAATTAGAAATATTAGTATAAAATGTAAAATAATACACATTAATAAAAGATATGTAGGTATATATTTCCACTGAATCAAATATTTATAATTAAACTGTAATTATCTCACAGTGTAATTATCTTTTCCATTAATGTCATACTGAAAACAACTGCAATTTTTATCCATCTCTCTCTTGCTTTGTTATTCAATATACTACCTTTTTCGTTTTCTGTAATTTTTAAAATTGAGCATATAATCTAAAAAATTTCTCACTATGAGTACTAGCCTGAAACTAAACAGGAGGACAATTAGTGTTTCATTTTACTTTATTTAGACTTTATATGAAACAATTGACTATTTATTGTGACTTATATATATTTTTATATACGCGGCTAATACATGTATATGTAACACGTATTTTTCTTTCGTAGGTCGCACGTTTGTGTAAAATCGGTATGCTTTTCAGACGAAAAGCCAGCTATTATATAAATGCGCAGTGAACACAATTTCTACAAATGTGAGAATATTGCATGAACACAAAGACGTATGGCATTTATCGTATTTCCATCTGGGAAATTAATTTCTTTCACCTCTACGCTTTTTACATAATAATTGTATATTGCTGTACCTTGGATTTCATTCTCGTTCAATATCAGTCGGGTCTGCGAGTTAAGTAGGTACGGACTTTCATATCTGTTTTGACGAGGTTTCTTCGACGTGGTTATACTTATCTTACAAATTATAACATAATCACATGAGGGTCTTTTTTGTGTTATATCGCTAAACATGAATTCAATTCGTTTAGTAACGGTTTATAAAGATAATTTGGTTTGTTAGAGTAAACATTCTCACACAAAATTCTTGATATGAATTATAATGTATTAATAGTCATGATAACAAAAAATTTATACAAATTAATGAGCTATTTTCTAAGAATTTAAAACATAACTTTGATATTAAAAAAAGATAGCAAAATTTCGATATTATACAATATATATCAATATATATCAATATAGAAAATTTCACTTGTGAGCTAAACACTTCTTCTTCTCGTTTTGAAACAATGCGAAAAAGAATAGATGCTCTATCCAGCAGTAACTATAACTGTGGTGTAGCGTCTGTTTTTTGTTTTCTATCTGTCTCGCTCAACGGGATGATGGAGAATATTTAACTCGCAAGGTAAATATGTATATATATTTTTTTTTCAAAACGAGATCATGTATATAAAAATTAGAATTTATTAAGAATGATACGTAATAAAACAATACAAATTTTATTGCATTGCACAATTGCATTTAAGACAAAAAATTCTTTTAAAGAAAATGCAAAGAATGACTAGTATTCTTATACTTTTAGGCCAATACGTTATATTACATTATACTTAGTTAAATGCAAAATGATCTTTTGTGGATTTATTATAAAATCAATGGAAAATCGTAGAAATATTCGCACTATTGTACAACCGAAGTACGCGATCTGCGATCTGGTTTTACTGGCTGGCATTTTGGTGAATTGCGTACAATATTTACGACCTAGCATTTATTTTTTCCGTTTCTTTTTTTACTCCAGTAATAATTAATCATGAATTTGCCAGTGAATCGGCGCGCCCTATCGTGAAACACTTGGAAAATGGATGTATAATGTCGGTTTTTAATTGTAGATCTCTGTTTTCTCTCTTTCGGGAGGGAGAAAGATATGAATCAATATAACTTCGTTTAAGATAAAGGCATCCCGTTCGGCTGACAAAACGTATAACAATAAATCGCGAAGTGCCTTCGGGCACGCGAAGCTCGTTCGTTAAAATACATTCTCTCTTCCTTCGTTTCGGAGCCGCGTTATTTATGTTATTGTTACTTTACAATAATCCGTAGACTTAGGGTAGACAATTAATTGTGTTCTGTACAAATTCTATCAACGCCGCTATCTATGTACACATGCCGCTATATACCATTGGTTGTAATCTCTTACACGTGTAATTTGGCATTCGCGTGAGAGAAGTGACTCGTGTGATTCTCGCTACTTCAAATCCGTGCATCGCGTTCTTGCATGTTAATCTGCTTTATATATGTATAATATATACACATGCCAGCGCGCTGGCATTAATATGTTACAAATAAAAGTTGAAAAATCTATAAAAATCGTGAAAATATAATAAAAAATAATACACGATATTTTCAAGAATAGAAGAGATTGCGATTTTTTAATAGAATCCTATAGTTTTAATCAAAATTCAACAGCTTATAAAAAACGTTTTGGAAAATAAGACGTCTAAAACTCCACAATAAAATATTTAAAAAATAATGTTTTATATAATAAAGAATATAAATTTAAAAAATACATATTAGAAAATATACATTAAATATACATAGAATATATATTAAAAAATAATATTAAAGAATAATATTTTCTTGCAATATGTAATAAAATAATGATGTAAAATGTGAGGAGTGAGCAATGAAAAATCTTGAAGCAACTTTCATTATTTATTTGCATAGAGAATATAAAAAGTTTCAAATTAATCGGATGAGAAGTGGACGATCTAAAGACTTCACAGATCCATTTCTTTAGATCAAATGACAGTCGATTGTGCGAGATAATCGCTTATTAGACGTGCTGATCACTCTCTTTAATTCCGATATACGTGTGTGTTTTTTGTGTGTGTATAATATGTATATATATGCATATGATTCGATCGGAGAACGGTAAACTCTGGCTCGTTAGCTCTCCATTCGCATCGCGCGAATAAGATTAGGTCATATATTGTAGAGTGTATTGTAGAGAAAAATATAACAGAAATCAGTTAAAATTTCCTCAGGATATTTATCTCCTGCATCGCGCGACGCATTCTTTTTCGCATCCTAAAATATTTCTCTCATGATAATTATGCAGCGGGGGATTAACGAGCCAGTCCGCGAAATTTCGACTGCCGATCGAGGGAGGGTGCCGAGATGTGCCATCTTCTTAAAACGTCTCACATCGAGCGACGTAAAACGAGGACCAGCGCGAGTCCTTACCATTTATGTACACGTGAGACAATAACGTGGGCTTCGTGGTTTTCGATTAACAGGAACAGTGTGTGCATTAACGCGAGCTTCTCCGAGCTTAACAGTCTCAACAGTTGAATTGGTGCGCGAGTAAGATCGTGAACACGAGGACGAGGACGAGGGCCGTTCCTCGCGGCTCAGCCTTACTCGAGGAACGTACTACGTGCCAGTTCGGGGCTGGCGATGATCCGCTTTTGCGAGTGTTGGCGATCACTGTTTGACTTCGCCATCTCATCGTATATTGCGGGGCTGTTCTTCCAAGGGCCTGCAGTCTGAAAATAAGCAGATCAAATTTCAATCCTATGCGCTGATAAGATCTCTCATTCATAAGCTCAAAGCTTTTTTCTTTTCTTTAACGAACATTATGTGGTTTATATAAAACTGCTCTCTGTTATATTTTTCAATGTGAAGATATTGGCTTCGATTTTTTTATATTTTAAAATATCTTTTCAATAAATATTAAAAGTTGAAGATAATGACTGGCGATGATGATAATAATAGCTTTACTAAAGTATGAATGAAATGAATTATATTATAGAGAAATATAGAGGAAACTGCACCACAGATAAGGTGAAATATTATAGCAATAATGCTGCTTACAAAACTATAGGCTTTTCAATCTGTGTCGAACTTTACTTTTTTTGAATTATTATTTATTTTAACTTATGAGTCTTTTTGTTCATTTGTATTTTTCTCTTTTAATTTCTCAGATTTATCCCAGATAGAACTATTATTCTTGCAGTGCCAACAAAAATGATAGAAATGACTGTAATTTTTCGATTCGAATGCCGATTGATCACTGCCAGAGTCATTGAGAAAAATACTTAGAAGAAGCTGCTGTTAAGCATATTTTTCTTTATATCGTGCAGATTATGGAATAAGGGGAGTAATAAGTGCAGCGGTTGAGATTGCCATCGTAAGGCGAGATGAACGATGGCCGATTGTTAATCAGTGGATAATTTCTTCACGCCAGACGACAGTAATGGATCACGCGAGCATCAATCCACCGTGGTTTTATGCAGTTATACATACAGAGACACGGGTTCGATCGCGTACACCAGTAAAACGCCGTTATATTTCAGCCGACCGTGTCATAATCTCCTCCGTTGAAACTGTCGCGGAACTATCGTTAAACGTAGCTAATAGACAAGATCAGGGCGGAACTTCCGCCAGGTTAATCGGCGAGAGCCGAGCGTCAGGGTAAGAAACTCACCTAACCACTACGGTATTCATCTTCCACGGCAGGGTGAAATTCTTATGCGTGTCCCTCGAGCAGAACGTGTACAGTCTGCTTCCGGCGGGGTCACCGTTCTTCTTGTACTCGTGTATCGTCAGGTTCCACGCCGTGCACGGTCCTGTTAAGTAGAAGAAGTGTTGCATAGAGCGGACAGCGTTGCGAATCTCGGTATTATCCCATTTTTGTATAAAAGCTTAATGCTTATCATAGAAAAAAGAATAAAGACAACTTTATCATATATATATATATATATATATATATATATATATATATATAATATATATATATATAACAGGAGCACCAAGCAATCTATTAAGTCTGTTAAAAATGTTATCCATTTAGCCCCAGTTCCACCGCAATGTAAGATTAATTTTAATTTCGGTTTCATTTATCTTTTACCTTCTACTAATTTTGACAAAAATAATAAATTAAGAGATTAAAGTTAATCTATCTTACATTGGTAAAATCGGGCCTTAGCCGTTTTTTAGGATTTAGCCTTATGATCAGTGTGCCTTCGGTCAACTCGATGGTTCGAATAAAAAAACACGGTAGTGTTTTTTGCTCCAAGTACGGACATAACGTGAACGTGTGTTTGTGAAAGTGTTGTAATATATCCAAATAAATCATAAATATTACGGATATTACGAGTCCTTTTATGCAGTGTTTAAGTGCAAAGAGCATTACGAGCATTATTCATTAAATCTTAAACTTTTGTTCAACAAAAAAGAATATCTCTTCTAAATTAATTTGTGTCAGATTAAATATCTTTTTTAAATTCATATTTTTGAGTTAAAGTAATATTTCAAAGTAATATTTTATTTATTTCAAAGTATTCGACAATTAATCTAGTTAATTATATGCATATAAATAATTAATAATTCGTAACAATTGTACGCGTGAATATAATACGCCTTCGTTTCTTTATTCATTTTCTACATAAGTTATTTTCCCCACAAGAAGTAATATGCATGCATGAGAAGGTTAATAGTTCTGTTTATTATCAGGATTCTTGTTATTTACATGAAAAACAATGGTAAACCATTCATATAAAAAGCTGCATCATTCGTAAATAAAATTTCGTAAAAAGTATAATTAAGAGGAGAGAATACGAAAAGAAAGAAACACGGTGGCATCCATAGTGATACCGCGACTTGAGAGGTATATTAAAACCATTTCCAGCGTTTGCTTTAGTTATGATTCCAACTCTACTTATAATCTGTAAGATGGCGAGGAGAAAGAAAATGAAAAAGCTATGACGTGAAGGCAGAAATGAGAAGATGAAAGGAACGGGGCGACAGCGACATTTCTATGGCGGAGTTGTGGAATGTCTCGTCACTGAAGTAATTCGATTCCCGCAGCGGTTCATAAAATCATAAAATGAGAATAGAAATGCACGAAGCCTCATTAATTTATTCAATAATGCACTCGTTACTTTATTGCCACACTCCTCTAGTGAACAAATGCGGGCGTCGTAATTGTATCCATGATGTTGACATAAGAAGATAGAGCATATGGAATGAAAACCTTCCTTTTTTTCAATCAAATTTCATCCGCGTAATCTATCCGCATAAATCAAAGCTTCTTGTATCGAATTCAATATTCTATCATTCATATATATTGAACCAATAAAACCCCATTTTCTTGAAACATTGCAGAGGATATTCTCTGCATCCAATAAATGATATTTTCCTGTACGAACGTACAGATCACAATTCATTGTGCTATCATATATGTACATACATCCCGTTACATCGATCGATCGCCATATACAAGAGTTTCCAGAGAAAACAGGAAAAATTGAAATAGACCAAGAATACTATTGAAATAAATAAATAAATAAATAAATCGTTTGAAATTATCATATCAAATAATAATATCGCGCAGTAAAAAAAACCCATAGTACTGAGTGATCAATTTTGAAGGGGATGATGGCGTCATACAGTTGTAGAAATAAAAGTAAATTCAGCCATGAATGCTGCTATCCTTACATCAGAGAGAACAATATTTCTCATGCTGCATTTCATTCGAGAGGAACAATCGTAATATTCCCAAGCTCGAATATAAGCGATAGGCAGTCGCCTTTGTCGTGCTCGTAAAATGACGATTTACGTACCGCAGAAATGGGAAAGGCGGAAAGGCGACGAAGGTGGAAAAGGGCGAAAAAGAGAGGGAGAATGATGCAAAAAATAAGAGTGAGAGAAAGAGGGAACGTGATTTCTACACGGTAAAGCTTTAGTTTCCGTTGTCGTGGTAAATCTGATGGTCTCTTTAATCTCGCGACCCACTGCCATTCGTTTCGCGCCCACGCTCCTCTGTCTCTTCGGTCGGCCGCGACGTTCTCTCACCCTCCCGACTTATTCTTCCTCAACTTTCACCCTTTCGTTCGCCGGCAACGGCGGCAGCGACGGCGGCGCGGCGGAGCCAATGGCGCGGATAGAAATTCCGGCGGTCTCGGAAGAAAAGCAATCGAGAGAAGATTTCGCCGTGTCGTCGCCAGAGACGAGGCGCGTCGTACGTAGGATGATCTATCTCTGTTTTCTCTCGAGCCCCGCGACCGGGATCGAAATAGAATTTTGCGGATAGAATTCTTGAGAATATAGAATCCTACTGCGAGACGTAGACTAGAATTTTGCGCTTATCGAGATAAGAGTTGAAGGAGAACATCGTTAAGGATAACAACTTGAAAAGAATGTTGTCCTCATCAATATAATAATTTCACGACAATAAAATATCGAAGCAATACTATCTTAGCTTGAAAATAGTTTTCTTTTAATATTTTTGAATTTTCTGAAAATATCTTGTCAATAAAAAAATCATTGATACGATGATTGATTTTCAAAAAATAATAAAAGATCGAAATATATCTATACAGTTTCAGAATGTAATCACTTGTAAAATATATAATATATACATATATCTATAATACAAGCAATGCTGTTGTTAAGTCGAAGCTATTTTAGTAAAAATATCAACAGGTTCATTATAGCAAAAAAATTAATTACGTTATAGTAACGATTTTTAATGTTTAAGATCTGCGAAAGATACGCCGCTTCGGAACGCGTTACTTTTTATTTTCTTTTAATGCCGCTCGAAGATAAATCGCTTGAATGTTCCCTGGAGAGACGTAGATAGGTTCTCTTAAATAAATCATTTTCGTACTATTAAACTGCTCGCAGCTTTTGCAAGATATAAAACTACAAACTAATGAATTCCAAGAATAACTTATATTTCTTTGATTTGACATAAAAGCCTAACAAATATTCTTACACAAACTATATGCAAAAAAATTATGTAAAGTAAATTAATATAATTATGCGTTGTTATTGTCGATTTAAAAGCTTTAATTTAAAGTTCACATGAATCATATTTTAAATATATTTATGATATTTAAATAAATTTAAATATATTTTTTCTTTTAAATTTAATTAAATATATTTATTATAAGATAATTATGAAAATATTGTACAAGTAACTGAAGTTTTATTGGAACAGCTTCTACAAATGAAGAGATATAGACACAAGGTCTACTCACGGCTCTGAGTGGACTTGACTTCGATGACGAGTTGCCGGTCGATCGGTGAGTCTAGAATCCAGGTACACTTCTGCTGGTAATACTGATTCAGCTTGAGTCCGGCGCTCGCCAGATCACCGCCATTGACCTCGCCTTCCGGCTCGGCCGTTGTGTGATCGCCGCAGTAAGTGTCATTGATAAACTTGTAGGCTGCGTGGAAATTGAGGCCCGCCCTCGACGACCTCGACCACTCAATGTAGACCGGGGTCCAGCTACGAATGCCTACCGGAAGCCAATCCTGCGCGATGATAGATCCCGTTAGACGGATGAAATGAAGGCCGAGGGATACGATGTGGAAAATGGTGAGCAATTTAGAGAGAGGAAAAAAAGCGAGGACTATAAAATAACCGTTGAGAAATTGAAAATAATATCGATAAAAGAGCTGAAATAAAATACAGTACACATAATCTTTAGTATATACGATTGGATCGTTTGTGTCCAGCGCACTTCTTTTTTTTCATACTAGATTAGACTAGAAACAAGTAATTAATTATAACATTTATATACAACTTTTTTAATACACAATCTTGCGAATACTTTCTATAGATGTTAATAATAAATATACAAAAATCACTTACTAATTTTTATAATTTATAATTTTTGTACATTTGTTAAAACGATGAAAATTAACCAGAGACCGATCTATCGTGTGTATAGTAAAGGAAAACTATTATCTATACCAAGAGATAATAGAGTAATATAATAAATTTGAGATACTGATCGTAATAATGTAGGAAGAAGAAATATCGATGGCTTATTGACAATTAGGCAATACGCTTAATTATCAATCGCGGATTTCGGATTTAACCCTGTACTGTTAAATTACACAGATTTATCTTGTTGTTTGCATGATAGCCCTAATGTGTCGGAATAATGATCATTTGAATATGAAATGATGCTCCCACGAATCGAAATCGTATTACCGTTTATAGACTTACTCTAACGATTACACTCGATCAGGTGTAATCTGATAATACGTCTATTAATAATCATCATATGGATAGAGTCAAAGTCAGGTCAGTTGTGCGGTGTATGCGCGAGATTTGTCGCAAATGTATTTTGCATTGAATACATTATAATTAACGTTGACAATTTCCTGTTAAACATTTTTCCAGTTAAATATAAATTTCAAAGATTGGTAATTCCAAAGCATTTTCGAACAAGTGCCACTTTTTCATTTTATTTTTTAGTGGTACATATTATACATTCGTTGTAACAATCACATATTAAATTTACTAAAAAATAACGTCGATTATTACACCGTAAATTTAAATTTTTTATTCATATTGATTACATTACAATATTGTGATAAATGTTGAAACCATATTAATGAAACTGATATACATTTCATGCGAGCGTTAATAACATAGTGTATATTACCGATATTACGTTAAATTAATTTTCCACAAATAACACATACACAATTTTCCTGCACAGAGATTCACTTTACGATGATTAATTATTATCGATAATAGCAAAAATGTATTTAAGATTTTTGAAGAAAGTCCAGCACGTAATGAATTTTCTTTCTAAGGAAAAGAAAAAGAACTATCTAGCTGAGAGAAACGATATGATACGCATAAGGAAGCATTCGCAGAAAATTGCGTATCGCAAGCGATATATTTTAACGACATCGCCGTTACAATGTACGTTTTCGCGTGACAATGCGGAGGATATAAAAGTTGCGGTAATAACGATAGCTTTTATCTCGCGGCATTCAAGGAACGGAAGTGCTCGTGGAAGCGACCGCTCCGTTGAGGGCGTCAAGACGCTCATTCGATGCGGGGGCCATGGAATAAAGTTTTTCCGTAGCTCGCGCGCTTACCTGGTAATTCCCACAGAGACAGGTGACAATGTGTCCGGTCTCGGAGACGAGCAGGAGGTGGTCCATGCTCTCCAGGGACTTGCTGACGCAGTGGCAGCCGCTGTCGCCGCACTTGGTCTCGCACGGGTTGTTTGGCGTTTGCTTCGTGCTACCCTTCACCTGCAAACAGAGGCATCAACGTTCCAAAAAGTGCAAGTAAAAATCTGTACGGGCGGAATGAAGGAAGCAGACTAAAAGAATGGCAAAAACACGGTTAATTAATTATCGAGAGCCATACGTGCAGTTTTTAGTTAATTGTTCGCTGTCTCTCCCGTAACTGACAAGAGACTGACAACAGACAAGATATCGCAACTGTCCGGAATCGATTTGGTTCTCCTTGATATGCTGTTTGGTATAAAAATTTAAGAAACACATATTTTTTATATCTACATGACTATTTTGAATTTAAAAGGGATAAAATTATCAAAATTAACGCTTGCACAATATTTTTGTGTGTAAAGTTTCATGGAAATTTTCTTCAAAGAAAAATTATGAAGTTTGTGAGTTTTCTGTATTAAATACACTTTTAACTATATATTAACCTTTAGAGTGCCGGCACTTTTTCATTAAAATAATGGTTTTTTTCTCGAAATTTTTTTCTATATAAGTATCATACACATGGAGCAGAATATCGAGGTTTGTACAGATCCATAAAAGTGGCTTTTCCAGTAGTCTAAAGGTTAAAACAGGGAGATAATTCGCAAACCTCACAACTTCTCAACGTTTATATTTAATTCTAAGTGATTATTTGAAACGATAAGATATATAAGAAACGTTTTAGATGACCCTTTTATATAGTACTTTTTATAATATCTTTTTTTATACACCTTATAATTATGTATTTATAAAGTTTTCAAAAATCTAAATTTCTATATATGTATGTACACTTCGTGAAAGGATGAGTTATGTAAGCGCGACATAACGGATTAAAGTTGCACGATTTTCCCGGTTGCAATGGATTCGCAACACAGATGCGACGTTCGTATCGTTCAGTGTGGGATTACAGTTGGTATGTTTCCACCAGGAATTCAATTGTTGCACTTTATCGTTCTCGCAAAAGTTACTGAAACCCGTGGCTGCGAATCCGTGGTCTTGCCTTCGGAACCACGTCTGATCCTGCGGAATATTATTTCTACGAGGATTAAAGGCTCGCGTTGCGAGTACCTACAGATAGAAAGTTTTAGATTTCGAATTCTAAAACTCCCTCGTGCAGTATGCGCGAGAGTTTTTTTTTTTTCTTTAAGTTAATTTAACAAGCAAAAATTCTTATTTATGTGAGAGACGGTGCGTCGAAAATTGAATAAATTAATGAGAATTGAATTCTTAATGATCGATTAACGCGTTGAGCGCCAGCGACACACACCGTATGACATTGACTAGGTACTCTTTTCGACGACATACATCGTGTGTAACAGATTTCCGTGATTTCCAGCAATATACTAAAACAACTAATCAAGGTTCTCAAATTGCATAAAAAATAATAATTTCCAAACATTGGATAGTTTCGGCTCCTGCGATACACCTATAAAAATTAGTCGGTGCTCAATGTGTTAAACGGACGATAGAGTTTAGACATTTCATTGGGAAACTCACGGTAATGACCACCGATTGGTTGGGCGCCGGTATAAAGTGCTGCCTGCACTTCACCGGGCCTTCCATGGCGAACAGCCGATGCGGTTCCGGATGCACCACCGAACCTTCCACCGGCGACGTCAACCCGTAATATTCGACGTCGCACACGCTGGCAGGCTGCTGAGTGCCACCCTCACGTTCTGGAGCATCAGACGAAAATGTGTGTTGCTTGTGAAAATGTCGAGAAAAATTATTTCGATTAAAAGAAATAATTTTATTTTCGGATCTTAATGCTTAAAAATATTAATATGCAAATTTTCGCAAATACATTATTTCAGTTTTGCAAAAAAAGTGGTTAGTATTAAAATAAATTGTAAAGATTTAATCTCTGTGCATAAAGTAATATCCTGAGATTTCTGTTATTCAGCAATATAATTTCTTGTGCAACAACTTAATTGCAAATAAAGTAATGGAGTTAATGTAAATGATACAGAAAGAAATAATTGAAGACAAATTCTAATCTGTTACAAGTAATAATTAGATCGATATATATAAGAATAAACAAATAAGAAAAAAAAAATTCTATTTTCGAATTCAAAGTGCATCTTGATGATTAATAACATTCAATAAGCAAATTTTTGCAAACACATTTTTGAGTTCTATAAAGCGCACTGGTTCGGTTTATCGGGCTTGAAACACAATTGCATTGTGTTTGCGGAAATTTGTATATAAATATATTATATTAAACATCAAGATTCACTTGAATTCTCTAAAAATAGGATCTTTTCTTTCATTTATTTAATTTAAATGTATAAAGAAGAAGATCTTGAGAGAAATAGAGGGAGAAATTTTTCAGTTATTTAATAAATTCTGACAAAAGTTAATTATAAAATTAATAAATCAACAAGGCTATTCTAATGAATGGAACAAAATATGATGTAATATAAACGTAAAAATTACTATCCTCGAGATGTCAATCAAGAAAATTACCCAGGCGATTTGAAATATAAAATATCTTCGTTTTATTGCTTCGCTCATATCCGCTGAACTCTCGCGGGACTCTTGTAACTTTCTTCTCCTCGCCTCTTAGCTTAATTTTTTTTCCCACAAGACAGTTTCTCGCAGTCAGAGGGATATATATTTCTACGAGTTATAGGTGGGTAAATGCCTTACGGGCACTTTCATTTCAAGTCGAAGTTCGCTCCAGAGACGGGATTCCCTCATTCCGTTTCTTACACGGCAATTTCGCATGATTATTCGCGGCAATTCGGGATCGCCTGGTTGAATTTCAACCCCTTTCCTATAAGGAGATCGGTCTCTCCGGGTCGCATAAAGTTTTATATTCCGCCACCGGATCGTACTCAACGCGAGATAAGGTAGGCACCGGAATTCAAGTGGAGAACGAAATTCGAAAACGTTCGATCTTGATATTCAACGGTCGCCTCCTTGAAGAGGAAAGGAAAAAATGAAACAGTAACGGCGGGGAATGGTAATGTCTCTATGTGGGATGTCATCACGAACGTGAAATAAAAAAAAAAAGCCGACGAATGAGGTCACGATTCGAATGAGGTCAATTCGAACGCGGTCGATGTGCGCGCTTTATTTCCCTTTATTTAAATACAACGTTGCGTTATTTAAGACTTGAAACGCCGGTCGCGGATGACTGTACTCATCGATCGCCACGAATTGAATAGAGAGATACTGCGAGAGGCATGAGTGCATAGCATGTAACACTTGTAACACGTGTAAACGTAATAACGTTGACCGGTGACACGATCACTCTCGTCAATCACTGGTCCTATCGATGGCGATAGTTTGTCATCAGGCATGACTTTTGATTCTTGTCATTTACGCTTTTTTTTTTTGTAATAGTCCATGATTGGATCTAGTATATGCCGCTCGTAGAATTGTTGTGACCTACGATAGCTACCGGCTACAAGCGAGATCGGTAGCCATTTCGTAAACGTAAAAAAAAATTGGAACGAGAATTTGATGTCGACATGATGTGTCGTAAAATTCGGTCGACGTTTAAAATCTCATCGATATCAAAATTCAATTACTGCTGTCCGCGTTTCGTTCTGTCCGTTAAAATTTTATCTCGTGCACTATTAGCTTGTGTTCCAAAACGCTTGATCGATTTTAATTTTCGACTTTAATGAAACCGAGTTAAATTAACGAGAAAGAGAACAATATATCCGATAAATGGAGAGCCTTTTATATATTACGTTAGTTAGGTAAAAAAATAGATTTTTATTTTAATAAATAATTAAGTACAATATTAACTAATTTCAAAGCTAAATTAATTTTTTTTACAAATACAGTATTCATATTATTTTATATTACTTTTATACTATTTTTATATACACCACTTATTATTGTAATATATACAATACTATAGGGGAAAGTGGTCTAAATCTGACCTATTTGCAGTTTTTGTTCCCTATAAGGCGTAAATAAAGTCCGATCATAAATGGTGCCGATTGAAAGATTATTTAATTCCCTTCATTTTTGCTTCAGACCATATTGACGTATCTCTTACTTGTGTCAAACTATAATGGAAAATGTAAAAATGCATTCTCCGGTCCGATTTGGAACTATGACTTCCAAATCGGACCTCTTCTATTTTTATAGACTTTTAGATAGAATTTTAAAATATTTTAATCTTTATTGGTATTGAGTAAAAACGAGCAATTTAAGATTCAAAGATAAAAATATAATTTATACTTATTAGAATTAAAATCAATAAAAAATTCCATCAATCTGAGTCTGATGGCACATGATAATTGATTTAGTGTTCCTTAGACCAGATCTGGTCGGTCGATCACCAGTACTATAATCAGGTTATGGCGAACCTTCTTTCTTCGATGAATTAGCTGGCTTATTCGTCTTTTAAGTGTTTTTTTGTATAGGTTCAATTTGGACACGGGTTCTTTTGAACGATTGGAACAAATTTTACAATAAACCGCAAAAGTAATCACAAAACTCTTGATATTTTTGAATTCTACACTATTTAATTATCTCTTAAATCAATTACCGTTCAAATTTTTAACATCTTTTAAATAATGATTTACAAGAATTTTCTTTTTTAAAATAATTTTCGCATGACAGCCAAAACTACGTATTTGCGTCTATTCTATGGACGTTATGATGAAGTACTGCCAAACTGCACTGTTACATATTCGGTATCTCATAAGGATTTCACATTATAAGTAGCACGCAAATCTGCTTAACCGTATTTATTTAAATTAAAAAGGTCCGATTTGGAACACGGTCCGATTTAGAACATTCTCCCCTATATATTATTCATTATATGCAAAACGTTATACAGATAAAGTTCTATAAGTATTAAAAATCGCGGAACATACACTGTGTACGCACCATCATTCCCGCTTTGAATTTAGATTTAGCGCTTTCAAGCTTGTGATAGTCCGGTAGTCCGGTTTTACTCGGCAAAATAGATGTAACAGTCGCGGACGAATAATTATCCGACCACGAATAATTACGAGTTGCCCGATGCGAGAGCGCGTATAATATACCTAGGGTCTCATTTTAATCTCCGAGATTACTTAGCCAAGGAAAAGGTCGTAGCTACTTAATCGAGGTTAAATCTAATCTTTGAAACGGGATTAAGCGCGACCGCTGTTTTTGCGAGGACGGACGCGTCGATATCGTGAATGTGTCCTCCGGCAGCCAACCAGAATCCCTCGGTCGAGTGCCAAGCGAATTTCAGGATTACCATCCGGACGTGCCTACGTTCATCCGATTAAGGGGGACAGGGGAGAGGACCGAGGCTTTGACATCGATATGCTGAGGCGTATTTACGGTAATTAGTTACTCGTAATTAGCGGTTTGGATGCACCGCAGTTGACTACTCGAGAAGCAATGGGCAAAAACCCGATTCCGCGATGATAAAACTGCGGACGCAACTTGTGCTGATCACGAAAATGACGTTGCTAGTCGTGTTCCAATAGACCAGTATTGAAAATTTGTAGTTCTACAAAATTTGTAGGACTACCGACACTTTTTAAAGTAAATTCGTTCACTCTAAGATGAAAGGTGAAGAGTTTTATTTATTTTAAAAATGAAGTCGTTAGCGCTCTAAACATTCCAACTTAAAGTGAAATCGTCTTCTTATTAGCAGTGTTAGAACCGAGGCTGGCTAACATACGCACACAAGCGACATTCTGATAAATTCGTTCTGTAAATTTTAAAGTGCCTCTACATAATTTGCAAATCGCAAAACGTAGTTCGTTAATACTGACACAAAATGATAATCACCGCACGCAAGATACACTCAGATAAAAACTAATCGCACGCAATGAAAAAAATAAACGTAAATCTTTATTCTGCGTATGCATTTGCAAACTATGTTTTGAAATTATATGAAAGCATCCTTACAGATTAAAAACAAAAACTATACAAGTTACAAGTCTGTGCTAAAAGCACAAAGAATCACACGATGCGTGAATGCGTACATTTGCTGTTCAGTACGCTTTATGTCCTTTCTGCATATTTATTCACTTTTAGAATGAGCAAAATGATATATTAACAGAACGCGTAAAAAGTATATTATAACGTTAATACTTATGGATTAAATACTATACTTTTCCTGCTCTTGATAAAGATGTACTATATAACTCGACTAAATAGCTCGGAATTATTTATTGAAATATTCCTTCGTAGTAAACACCTGCAAGTTATATGTAACATACATGTAGTGTAATTTCGAACTCAATAATATAACTATAATCATCTATATCACATGGTTGTATTACGGTTATATTATTAAATAGGAAATTACATCTACATATATCAGATTATATGTAATTCGATGTTTGCTAGGTTCGCTCATAGAATATTGAAATTCTCACTCCATTAGAGTAAAATGTGTCACTTTTTTTTAGAATTAAAAAATTATTCAAATAAAGAGTGATTAATTTCAACAATTTAAAAAAATGAAATTTCATTTCACTTCGATTCTTGGCAGTATTTTCAGTATTACTTGAAGTGAATTTACTTCAGAAGAGTGAGATTCAATCCCAAGGAATTTAGAGAGCAGTATATATTGAAACGCGTCACTATATCATCGACTATCGATCGCTTTTTGCACTTTGCAAAGATTGTATTTGACAGGTAAAGTAGATAAATGTTTTATCTTTGTAAATGTTATAAGATTTTTTAATATGTGATTGGTTATACATTTAAATCCAATGAGGAATTAAGGGCATGAACCAATCATATTAAAAAATCTTACAATAGTTGCAAAGCTACTTTTTCTACTAAACACATAAAGAAAGAAGTACTGAGCAAGTACCATCATCATATATTGTCACATTGGCGAAAATAACCTGTTATTACTAGATATTGAAAGAACAACATAATTCTTAACCTTTTGATGCCATGAGAACGATACTTGTATCGTTACTTGAATTTTCGAAACGATACTTGTATTGGGAAATATGGCATATCCAATTCAATTCAATTGCTATAACTTTCATACAAACGAACATTGTAAAAAATGTTTTTTTCAATTGAAACGTCAGACGTTAAGAAATAAAATAATACTAAGCAAATATATTTTTATTAATAAAAAAAAATTAATAAAAAAGTTGTAAGTAATGGAAGAAGCATTGGAAAAAGGAAGCCGTATGACGTATTCAGAGTGATACCGAAGGATAATTCTTAATTATTTATTACGCGTCATTCACTATTTAAGAAACACGACCGAAAACTCGGGAGACATCAAATTATAAGACAAACTTCATTGCGCGATCTTTTTAAACTTCTACTCGGAAATGTAAAACGAGAAAGCTTCTCGCAAGCGCGTAAAGAAGCGCGATTGCACTCGTAACTCGTAATGAACGGGAGAAAAAAAATAAAAAGGAAGAAAAACCGATAAGAAAAGTGAGCTATATCGGACGATAGAGCGCAGAGAACAGCATGTTTCTCACGATTTCGCGACGTTTACGCGCGTTGACTTGATTGCTCGCCGACGACGCGCATCATAATCCAATTTCCGACGTTGCAATCTTTTGTTTCGAGTTTCTGCCAAGTCCGACGCGCAGCAGACCGCATTCGTTCCCGTTCGGCGACGACGCCAACGCTCCCTTTTACGGCTTACCGTCATGAAAGTAGTACGAGACCTCCATATACTCCTCGTCGGTGGGGCTGTTGGAGGCGCGTGTTAAAACCACCGTCATGTCCCGACCGTTGGATGAGTACCTCTTCGGCTCCACGTACCTGGAAAAAAGGAATGGAAAAAGGAAACGTCATTTGCGCGCTCGGCTCGAGGAGAATCCGTAGCGAGGGATGGTTTTCCCACGCTCCTTTCGCGAGAGCGGCTCGTAGTTTTTCGGGGTCGAAACCGGATATAAATCGAACTCGCCGACGAGCAAACGCCGTCGAAGGTAGCAACGAATGGCTGCTTTAATCTTCACACTGTCAGTCGCTAGACAATGTTTAAACGTCGGCGCCTAGACACTTAAAATTTTACTCGAAAGTGTAGATTAGATATAAAAACTTGAACACTGAGACTTCAACTTCAGTCTACAAGGAAAATTGCTTTACAGTCATTAATTTTAGGGAACTGACCGTCTATTGGATTCACTTAATAATTATAAATCCCTTTGTCAAAAATGTTAAACAATTCAATTTTTTTATGTTACATCTGCAAATTTAAATTATTCTTATTAACATATATTTACAATTATATTAGTATATAATTAGTATTCTTTTTACACAAATTGTATCATTTTGGTTCCTTTATGGGGAAAACAATTTTGATTAAATCAACAAAAACGCTCAACACAAGAATGGTATTTATGATAACCTAGTAGAAGAGAGAGCGACTTAGAAATGATCAAAAATAACTCAAATTGGGTATAATTTGATGTTATATGAATTTAACGGTGTGTGTTATAGATTTTGGAATCAGCTTCGGAGAGTTAAGAGACTCTAGAAATAAATTGAGCATAAAATAAAGGTACCGTAATAATTCTGTATCCCGATTTTATCTCGGGATACACGAAACTTATCTCATTGTGAACGATGCTCGTTAAAATAGTCGAATAGCTTTGCATCACGACCGCGCAATCAATACGAAGGAATGACGGTGACATCCGCCGGGATCGTACTATGAATAATGATCGATCCGATTTCCGCTTATGTATGTTACACGCGCGCACATATATATACATGCACCGGAATACGGGATTTGTGACACTTTTCATCGGAGACATTTGGGGCATGCGGGAACTTCGACGCGAATTATTAATTCACGATCATTATGACGAAGGGTGCACAAGAGAGCATGACGCGCATGGGTGCAAAAGGGTGCTCCGCAGAAGTTATATTATCGGCGCCGGGACAAAGCAGGATGTAAATCTTACACGTAAGACTCTATTTTCCCTGAGCAAAGTTGTAAATGGACGTCTTGGGAACCGCCCTCGATAGTCGGCGTGCGCGAGAATTGCCTATGAGTTAGTTTTGCAAGATAAATCGGGCACCCTTTCCGCCCTTGCCTCCTTCTCGACGCCACCCCGTCGACGCCGTCGTCCTACGACCGCGAAAGGAGGATCGCCCTTTGTCGCTCGAATGAGCGCTAGAATTACGTCGTCAATTTTCTAACAGTATAACTTTCCCGCGCGAACAATATCGCGCCAACCGCTCGAAGTCAGTGACGTTCAACATCTCTTTGGGTAAGTTTATCGAGGTCTCCAGAAATGGGTCACAACTTTTTGTTTAAAACGTTTATTTAAAAAAAAAAAATGGTATGTTTCATTTGTAGCGTGTTTCATTTGGCGTTTTAGAATTTAATTAAAATTTGTGAATATGATTGAAGTAAATTAAAATAGACACGCAGTAAATTGTTATTAAATAGAGAATGGAAATAGAAGAATCGAAACACGACCACTTGTTCAAGTTTTAAAAAAGAGAGTCTTTAATCTTCAACGCTGATAATCGAAATTTGATAAAACTGAATATGGAAATGTTGTGTGTGTTGTGTGTGTGTGGGAATATGTATAATTTATTTAAATCCTCATATTCCGTGTGAAAATTTAAATAAAGTTTATATATCAAACTATACGGATTGGTTTACATTTAAACATTGATATTCTTGAATGATTATATCAGCGTATATTTTATATAAAATATGAAATTTATTGATTAAGTTTTAATAAATTATATCCTAAAATTTACGTCAAGAGTTTTCCCAGCAATGCTGAATTGTCGCTATAGAAGCACGTGAATCACAAGTACCTTGTTATTTGTAGGCTGTATTACAAGCCAGCGCGATATGATTATCGCGATACCTTCCACACGTGTGGAATGGCAGTTTACTTTATTAGCGCGTGGGATAAAGCGATGGTACGATACGGTTGATCTGTGTCGATTCATTGGCTGCTCCCGAGCAGGGGTGGCTTTTAGTTGGACATGGTGTGCGTGAAGATTAAATTACTTGATGGCTATACCGGATTGATCCCCGATGTATCTCGCGTCCATGCACGGACGGATATTAAATAGAGCGCGCTCTGGGCAACTCACTTGAATAATCGCGATGCCCGATTAGACCCTTACGGTCCTTTGTTCCCAGCGGTGTTGTGCGCGATGCACAATGATACGATTTTCGTCTTTAATCGTCGTCGACATCGTTAATGCGTCGTCAGTATTATTGCTTTTTCTTCACACGCTCGAAATTCACATTTCAAACTCCCTTATGATTCTAAAGACTATACTACTTAAATTCATAATGTCAAATTATATTTTGAATTATTTTTAATAATTTCTAAAAGAGACGCTACTCTCTGCTCAATGCATTGTTAATTTAATTAAAACAATTTAATTCAACAAAATGTGTTAAATTCGTTTTATTAGAGATTATAAGTTTAATATTATATTTACTAAGAGCTAAGAGCATACATATGAACGTTGTTTATTTGAAAACTAATCACAGAAATGGATTGATTTATATTTTAACACACATGGAACTTAAAAATAAGAAAACGTTATTCAACCCAAGGAATTGTCATCGTTCCTTTGATATTTAAAGGTGTAAATTAAGCTGATCTATAAATTGAATTAAATTAAAAAAAAAATGCTTTACATAAAAAACGCCACTTTCAGACAGTTTTATCCTATGATTTGAAATATCGTATTATCTGTACTATCTTATGATGATACTATCTTTATATTGTGATACGATAAAGCTCGAAGAAAGCCCACTTTCTTGACTTTATCGAATTTTCAGATTACAAGGCTCCCTACTTCGTTTTATTTTGCATCGTCTTAATACCGTTTAGGAAGTATCGCGGGCGAAGCGAAAGGTGGCGGTCGGAAATTCGGTGCGGCTCGAGTCGCACGATGGGAAACGTGCCCGGCTGCAAGTAGCAGCAGGACTGGAGAACGTGCGAGGCGGATGAAGCACGGGCGTTATTTCGCATGAATTTTTACGAGATTAGCCAACATAAAACACGCAGCAGTCCCATAGGCACGTACGTACGTACGCTGCATCCGGACGACCTGCTGCTGTTGCTGCTACTGCTGCTACTAAGCATAAATCGTCCTGGGACCGGCTGGTACTGGAGCGGCAAACGTTAGAAATTAAAATAGATTAAAAACTGCCAGTGGCGTCAGCAAGGCGGCGAGGTGCAACACGCGCGTGACGAATATCGTTCCTCTCGGAGGTAGAGAGTGGAAACGATCTTCCCTTCGTTTTATGACCAAGTGGAGAGAAAAACCCCGCGGACACTCGTGAGCTCGTGGTTTCCACAATCACCACCACGTGAATGATGTAGTATGATGACTTTTTCAGTTTTACCCGTCTTTGATCTAGGAAGATACCAAAGTTCACGAGAGATGAGAATATCAAAATATTTTACGAACTCTGCATCTCGATAAGAATACAAATCGTAATCGCTTCGTTATCCTATTTCTATTCTCTGTTCAATTTCATCTTCCTAGATAATAATACTGCAAGGATCTCTCATATTTAAGAAATTATAGATTTGTCTGTGAAATATGAGAGATCATTGCAGTATATTATTATCTAAAAAGGTTTATCTTAAATAAAACTGAAGACAACGCCCTTGTACATCATATTGTAAATTCGTTTTCCAAATCTACTGGGGAAGCTCTTCTGAGTTGGGAAACATATATAGGTATGTGCGCGTGAGGTTATCACAATATTTCAGACGTTTTACCGCGCGCATCTGTCGATCGGGGAGAGCGAGAAGCCGGGTGTAAGCCCGGCGAATCGATCGCGTACCATATCGGTAGCGGCGACGGCGGCGCCTCGAAATCTCTTCTGGGAAATCTCTTAGTCCAACCGTGCATCCCTCGTTTGGCCATTCGTTGGTCGGTCCTCGTTCTTTTTGCACTGGCCGCATCAAGTTCGCCCCCCGATGCAACGGGGACGGGGGTGGGTAGAGCGTGCGACAGACATTTCGCGTCCGTCCATTTCCCACGGCTTGCATAATGCATGCGGCCGCTGGTTGCTTCGACGATGCCAACGACGACGACGACGACGACGACGACGTCGCTCCCTCGAAGTCCCCTTTGCACTTATCTCTTCGATCGGCCATACGGAATCCTGGTTCGTGGGTCACCACCGGCTTTCAGCCTCGAGAGGAATCACGCGATACCTTTGTTTGTCGTTGCTTGACCCTTCACAGTCTGTTTCCACGGTCGATTGGTCAACACCTTGTCTCTGGAGGCTTCAACATCGAAACGCCTGCTCGGTGCTGCATATGGGAAGGATACGGATCGCGCAGATGATAAGTATGTGAATAGCTTTGATCTTTTCCCTCCCACATGTCCGTACATATCAAATTTTTTTCGTTTTAAGTAGTTACAAGAACACGCAAGTAGTTTTAATATTTTCCCTCATACGACTTACAAGCACGTTTTGAATTATATTTCAAGTCATTAGAGTGCATATGTCTGATAGTTATAAGTACGGTAAACCTAAGAAACGACAAGTCAACATATGATCGGATAATTATCGGAATAAAGATCTAGTAAAAGATTTCTTCTATAAAAATTCCAGAATATGCATCTCGTCCTCTTCACGTGCTACGCCGCTGTTCAATATGTATGGGTAAAAATCTTCTTTCAAATATCTTTCTTGTCACGTTTTTCATTTGATATGACCTCTATTCTATCTCCCTTGAATTCTTATCAGGCATCTCATTCTTACATCGATATCTCGACTTTCTCGGGAAAAGCACACGTATTACGAATAAAAATTTCTGCTGTAATAATTTATGATATGATGGATGCAGATAATTTCAGATAGAGTGAAATGTGAAAAATTAATATCTCATTTCATTAAATGTTTAATATTTTTAACAAATTTAATAATTCCATATAAATACATTATATGTATATTATTTTATTAATTTAAATTTAATATTATAATATCCACAGCTTTTGTGTTAAATCGTGCGCGTAGTACATTTAGCTTTTCACGTAATTCCTATTTATGAACAATTCGTTACTGCAAAATAAAATAAAATAAAATAAATCTTGATCTGCTTTTGTGCAATATATTTTAATTACACAAATTTTTCCCCTTTTATCGGTATTCATTCTTAATTCGTCGGTCATGATAGCATTTTGTGATCAAACGCTGCAAGTCATAAATTCTAGAACACAGAGTATTAAATGGATTAGCCTGTATTCTATCAACGCCCAGCACACGCTTGTATTTATTATTCGCGCGCAGTAAATCGATTGGCATTAAATGTTTACGACATCGAAAGGACCGCGTTCATAAAACGCGCGTATCAACGTGAAAACTGAACCTGCTGCGCGCAAGGGTTTGATCATAAATGATACGCGACATGAAAAGTTAATTTTCCTTTGAATGCAGGAAATATTGGGCTACGTACATGGAAACTACGCAATTTCTGTATATACTTTGTGATAATTATATGAAATTAAATATCTGCCACGTCATTAAAGAAATTCATAAGCAGCCATGCACAACGAGCAGATGTTATATTTGTGTATAAAGAGATAATGGTTTTGCTGAAATATTGAAAAATTGGACTAAATCAGAATATTTTTTATTGTATTAAATAAATAACTATAACAAGCTTGACCGTCATATAGATTATTATTTTAATGATCCAATTATTTTCGGATCCGTATCTATTTGTTAAATTTTTAGATACTTTAACAAAATTATTTTTTATACACTGTGAAAAATTTTTGGCTGAAAATGAACGAATCAAAAGATTCTGATCATATCAATCAACATTCTGTGTAATTATTTCAACCACAGACTTCTATTAAACAGACTGCTTTATCTCCGTGTTTGAAGACAGCGCTGGGCAGTGCTATATTTTTGTTCAATCACTCTCGCATGTATAAATTACATGGATAACGACGTTAATGTTTTTACATAAAATGCGATATTCACAGACAGGATGCATACACATGCATATGTGAAATGAAACAAGGACAATTCGGAATCCGATTCATCTTTTTCTAACATATTGAGTTAGCAGTCCAGTTATAAAAGTTTGTGATTTCAACTAGAAATATAATAGATTCGACCAGAAAATTGTAATTTGTCCATTTTCAACCAGATTTCAATTAATGCAATCAGACTCTTTTTCCAGTGTATGTACAATATTTCTAGGATCAATGATATAGTGTACTTATGTACATTTTACGAGAAATGTTATAGAATTTATAAAAAAAAAAACAAAACAAAACAAAAATGTAAAACGCTAAATTAAATAGAAGTTGTATGAATGTTGCAAAAGCTATCAGTTTTTTCCGCGCGATATTAATGCTTGTGTAAAAAACAATATATATTCGTTTCACGCGGTCTTCTATAAAGTTATTTAATCAAACGCGAGAATTTACTGCGTAATCGGAAGATTCCTCCATCGTAAAAATCATTCTATTACAGTAACGTTACGAGCGAAAGTACGTGCACAACTAGCCGTTTGAATTTATGTCATAAATTTTTGTTACGTTTTTCTTACGGGTACATTCGCTTTGCGACAATATTGGAATTATATTTAACTCTTTTTTTCTGAGGATAGTTCAATGAAAGGTAAACAGAATCCTAAAATTTCGGCTATAATGTTATTGACGTGCGCGAAAAAACTAATGTAAGTTTATCAAATTTTTGATACGATAGTGCAAGTACAAGTATATATACACTCCACACTGTTAAATCAAAAGAGCAATGCAATGATAACTAATTCAATCCGTTGAATTGAATATTTATTATTTTTAACTTCCATGAGTGTTAAAATGTGAAATAATTTATTTCTAAAATTAATCTGAAAGTAAACAATGTTTATGTTAACATTATACTAACAGTAAAAAACTAAGTAGAAACTAATAAAATTAAAGTTGAAGGACTCTTTATATGAAAATAATAATTAAAACGAGGTGAAGGACAATGAGAGTCAATTCGTAAGTAAACAAGAAAGCGATTATACATTAAAAATATGATATGAATTTTAAAGAAAAAGAATACAATAAAATACTTAGCCGCTTTTAACACAATTAAAAATTAGAATATCGGTCAATATATAATAATATAAAAAATCGCTCGATGTAAAATGTCGAAACAAGTTTCGACTCTTGGTTTGAGTCCTCTTCGGACGTTAAAAAATTCCTTATTGCAATATAATTAAGACAACAAACCAAGAGTCGAAACTTGTTACGACATTTTACATCGAGCGATTTTTTATATTATTATATATTGACCGATATTCTAATTTTTAAACAATAATTGAATAAAGGCCGAATGACGGTCAAGCAAGATTTAGATTGCTACAGTAATGTGTGAATTTTATTTACCACGTATGTAGTCTTCTTTAATCGCGCGCCGAAATATTTTCAGTCTTTTACAAACGCAACTCTAAATAACTACCGTAGTAATATCACTAGTTAAATTGACACGCAATCTAACAATATTTGATGCTTATAGCATCTTATTGGATCTTAATAATATGTTGAAAGACATATATTAAATTTTAATGATTTGTTATTAATTAATGTAAATTAAATTAATAATAAATCAAATTCTGTGAAAAATAAGATTGCGAAGAATTTCACAAGTTGGCATTTCGTCCCGGTTTCCACTACTAGACTCATCAGTAAGATAATTGTAATGGAAACCTACCTTAGACGCCTGGGGGAGATATTAGAAAGAAGTTCTATATAAACAGATACTTATGTATCTTAGCACTTGCGAGAGAAGCAAGCGTAACTATAGACCTCTGTAGGCTGGTCGACGTAGTGATATTCTTCACAATGCTCCCGTTTTTAAGTAATTGACAACGTATTTTGCAGGCACGTTGATTCTAAAATTACAATATTTGTAATTTTTAATTGTGTCAAAAGCGGCTAAGTATTTTATTGTATTCTTTTTCTTTAAAATTCATATTATATTTTTAATGTTATAATCGCTTTCTTGTTTACTTACGAATTGACTCTCATTGTCCTTCACCTCGTTTTAATTAAGTAGAAACTATTATAAGTCAAATGTTTTATATAAATTTAATTCAAATTTAGTTTATTATTTGTCATTTAATTCATTAAATTATTATTTACTACTTATTACATTCTCTTGACTTAAGTTGTTTAACTTTACTATGTTGTTTAAATTAACAATACATATATTGAGTAAGAGTAGCGTAGAAACAACCTAAAGAAACGATAAAAATAACTCAAATTAAGTAATAATTTGGCATTATGAACTTAAGAATGTACTTTCTCTAAAAAGTTAAAAGTAAAAAAAATATATAATTTGGAAAATTAATCAATTGTAAGGAATAAAAGATTAAGTAGCACGAAATTGCTTAAATTTTCTTTAAATTAATAGACTATAATTTAATGTACAAAATAAAAAAGCTACAAATAATTAAACTCGCCAAATTTTTACTGAAAAATTCATCGAAGAATCGAGATATAACTTTGGCGACATAGCTGCGCAAACCGTACACTTTTGTATTGGTTTCCGTAATGCCGCGCGGCAACGATTGAACGGTTTCAGATAACTACCATTTTGTTTGTCCTCTGCGACATCTTTTCAGTCGAATATGTACCCAGTATAAACGCATCGTAGAATGCACGACGCGAGGGAGAAAGAGAGAGTCGGGCTACAGCCATCTTTCATACTTTGACTTCCGGCGAGATGAGTATGAGGTATCGCTTTGCATGCTACCGTCTAGTTCTCGGATGGAGACGGATGATGGATCTACCGGCGCTGTTTTATGATTACGTGCCCGACGATCTTTCGTTGCTTCCTTGGCATCGCGACGACGCTGGCTCCTATTTCGCGCGTCAGTTCAGCCGTTGTCTCGTGATACGTGCCCGAGGTGTAATGAATAATCTTCAAGGTACACTACGGGGCGTGCACACTAAGGAGAAAGGCTGCGTTTAATATATCAGGACAAAGGCCTGTAAGGACTAAGAAAGACCTGCGACAAAATTCACTTCAAGATTGCTACCCTATTAAAGTTCACAGCATATACAAAACAACACGTAAGGCAGTAAAACGTAAGTGAGTCGGCCAATCACAGTGGAGAAACAGTAAAATTACTGCTTTACGTTTTCTACTGTAATTGGCCGATTCGCTTACTGCTTACGTTCTATTATCTCAGATTTTTCTATGTGTTTCTAGCTTAACCAATCCTATATCTTAATATACGTACATCTTGAGCGCTTGCGTCTCTGCGAGTAGAGATTAGCGTTTAGAAACTAATCTCCATTCTGACGCAGAGTTGTAAGGAGACTTAACCGATTCCCGGCTTTAAGCCAGCATCGCGCGTGTTTTCGAGTTGCTGAGGGATCTCGAAATTTACCAACTCAAATTACGATGCATTACCTATACAAACCGGTACGATGGTATCTCTAATAACCGCTTTAATAACCAAAGGGAATTCACTTACTTATCCTGACTCGCGAGTTCCCGCGGGAGCCACTGCGCTGGACTGCAAATCTTCACCAAGGAGTTGGTAATATCCAGCGTCCCGCTTTCCGGCGAACCGTCGAATATCTCGATCGTGGACTGACAGGACTGTGCACTGTAAAATCGATAGCGGGAACATATCTATCAGTGAATTTTACGACGGACATCATGCGCGCCATCAAAATTCGTCGTCCCGTAGCAAAAAAATTCACCGTCGATGTATCAACTGTAAATTCTCGTGTAGACAATTTTGAAGGATATGGCGATCTAACGCGCTTTTCGCGGAAACGGAAAAAAAACAAACTTGAAACTCTAAAAAAAAAGGAACGTATGTGTTAAATGTATTATTATCGATCTCCTCGTCTGTCAATTTCTCTTTTAATCCGGAGGAAAGATTGAAAGCTTTTTGGAAACGTTATATTCGATATTTTGTTTCGGGATAATCTGTAAATGTATCATCCAAACCAAAATATTCGAGTGCCGCGTTTTCGTTCGCTCTAATCGCCTCACAAACGCCGCGTCTGCGGAAAGTAAGCTGCAAATCCGACACGGATGCCGCTATTACACGCACATGAAAACAGGGTAAAAAGGAAGAGAGGGGAAGGGGTGGGAGGGGGAGGAGAGAGAGAGAGAGAGAGAGAGAGAGAGAGAGAGAGAGAGAGAGAGAGAG